AAGAAGATAGTAGGAAGGGAAAAATGAAGGTGGGGGAAATCGGAGGGGGAGATGAACCATGAGAGACTATGGACTCTGAGAAACAAACAGGGTTTTAGAGGGGAGGAGGGTGGGAGGATGGGTTAGCCTGGTGATGGGTATTAAAGAGGACACGTACTGCATGGAGCACTGGGTGTTATACGCAAACAATGAGTCATGGAACACTACATCTAAAACTAATGATGTAATGTATGATGATTAACATAACATAATAAAATAAAATTTAAAAAAAAAAAGAATCTGTCCTGGAGGACACCCAGGGTTGCCTTATTTGAGCAGTAGGGGTCACTGCTGCTCTTTAATAATGATAGGAGGATTTTCCCTAAGAAGGATTTTCTCTTATCTTTATAAGGATAGGAGGAGTTCACCACCTAAATTATGGTGAATAATTTATTAATGTAAATATGAAGTCTGTGTAAAACCAATAGTACAAATTTTAAGAAAGGGCCTCTCTTTATTAATCTAGTTTTTTTTAACTCACCAGTATACGAGATCCCTTCATTCTCTATCAGATACTTGCGTCCTTTGCCCTTAAGTAAGTGGGAGGAGGTCACATGAGTATAGATTTCAGTGTCCTTTTCATCTTTTCATCAGATTTTTCATTGAAAATGTTTTCTGATTTTTTATACTCATAAAAAGATGGATATTATTTCTTCTTGTTACTCTCAGTTTAGAGGGTTAAATATATATAATCTCTGTAGACACTACTCTCTTTACATAAATATTCTTTAGACTTGTTTGACTCAATATGTACTTTTCCCCATGAATTTCAGATTTTAGTTCTTCACTAATTCAAAAGGGAGGAATGGTGGACGTTATCATTTCTTTTTTAATTTCTAAGGTCAGAAACAGTTAAAAAGAATAATTGGACATTTCTTCCAGGAGTTTGGTCTTCGTTTATTACAATGCTAAGAATGGGCCCAAATGCTGAGGTAGTGTTAGCAAGTGGTTTCTAGAACAGAGTTAAGAAGAAAGCTTCCGGAACCACAGGAAACAGTGAGGGAGCTATTCTTATGAATAATGCCTGGAAAGGCCTAGTGCATAATAAAGCTGCACTGTCAGTTATAAATATCTTAAGCGAGGGGTGTGTATGTGTGACAGAGAGAGAAGGGAAGTGTTGCTTATCACAGTTTTTGCTCCTACTTTGTGAAGTTCCATCCCATGTCATAAAAATAAGTGCCAAATTGAACATGATCATGACTTATATTTTATCTTTTCTTAGGTTTCTATTTTGCGAAAATGCGTCAGTGTTTTTGCTGACACAGAAAAAAAATAGCAATGTGACATTTCCAGATTTCTCAGCTGAGTTCATATACTACCATGCTTGATGGTAATATTTGTTTAATTATCTTTGTTCCCCAATAGACATATGGGTTGAGTATGGTGTGATATTCATTATCACATACCCAGTATTTGGATAACTTGCAACTGGTAGACTTTCAATATTTGTTGAATGATTGGGTAAGTAAGGTGTTAAGATTTAGACACTTAAATGTGGGGATGGAAGGTTCTGAGACCTTAATTTTGATATGGGGTTGCAGGTATGAAATCTGTAATGAAAGATACTGTGTGTCATTGTATGTGTATATTATGTGCTGAAAGATGAACTGTTTCAACAACAATTAATTTAATATTAACCCTTTTCTGTATGAAAGGCAGAGAATTGCTTGAATGAGGACAGTCTGTCTTTCTGATCATTGTAAATTTTGTGAAAGTGAATTATTCTCCACTATATTTAGGTAAGTTAGTGCCACATTTTATCTAGTTTATATAGTTCTGACATTAAAAGATACTAATTTATTTGCAAAAATATATTCTTTTTCAAAAATGGGTTTAGTTGGCAGAAAAAATTCTTGACATCAATAAATAAGAAGATTAGGCATTTTGAGTGAACATTTTCCTACTATAATTTAGGCATTTTTAAGCTTTCTTTTAAAAATGAACTATCAAAAACTAGCATTATGTTTGTGGATAAACTTTAAAAACATTCTCTTAGTCACAAACCAAGAATTCCTCTATCACTATTATTATCCACACCTATATTCTTCCTGAAAATATTAGTTATGAAGTTAGACAAAAAGAGAAATACATGTGTAACATGGGGAATAATGAAGTAAAGCTATCTGTATTTGCAAATGGCATGACTGTATACCTAAACAAACAAACAAGAAATCAACTGGAAAAACTACTGGAAACAACAAGAGAATTCACTAAGGGAGCGGAGTACAACGTAATATTCAAAAAATCAATAGCTTTCATATATACAGTTAAAATATAATGGAGGAAATCATCTTATTTATAACAGCAATAAATGAAAAATGTGGGACACACCCCCCAAAAAAGATTTGAATCAAGGAAAATGGACAGTTATTCTTGGATTGGAAAAGTTAAAATTATAAATGTCTGCT